AACCCAAATACCTGTACTTTCTACTTCTTACATGTTGAACTGGCAGGCAGTGAGTGCGGACCAACGATTGAACGATAACAAGAACGGCTCTCACCAAGTACGACTCGGTTCCCCTCGCTCGAACCAAAGACCCGTTCAAAAGAATCGGCTCGTTCTCGACCGACACATCACGAGAGTCTCCGATCCAAGCTAAAGGGGCAGGAGCTGGGTTTTGAAGTTGCATAACGTTAAATGAATAAAAAGCTTGCACAATGCAGAATCAAAGTGTTTTGGTTGTATTATTTCCCCCTGTGTGTTTTCCTGCAGTGGGTAAAGCGGTGGAGATGAATAAGCAGCGTTCCCCGAAGCCCCTCCCCCCGGCCTCCCTCCTCCCCGAGCAGCCGGACCCCCCCTCTGGTTCTGCTCGGAGTCGTGGAAATCTGAGCGACGGATCGGACGCCGGCACACACTCCAACACACACTCCTCCCCCTCCAACACACACTCCTCCTCCTCTTCCTCCTCCAACACACACACCTCCCCCACGCTCAGCCCCCCCCCCGGACACCTCTCAGACAGCGGACACGACTCTGACTCCAGTAAGACTCTCCTCTTCCTCACAGGACTGTTCTCGACACAAGGAGTTACCCTCCTGTCTGCTCGGGTCAAATTTGAATGTTTGTCCGGAGAAGGTTATTTCATCTCGTTGAACTTTGACCTATACCAGTCTCAACCCATCAAGATGTGTTCTTCCAAACAATATTCACTTCGACTTCGACATTGTCATTTCAACAAGACACAGAGTGTACTATTAAAACGAAATGTCGTTGAACTAGCTTACAGGAACAGGACAATATAAAAACTTGCTAAAATTGTACATATAAATAAATATTAGTGACGTGGTGCTGATAAAATTAAAGATAAAGTGTGCGTTTAAAATATAAAGGCTTACTATACATATAAATAAAATAGATGTACTATATAGAAAATATGTGGGCTTTACACAGCGTAATGTAATCTCTGTGTTACTGGTCTACTTAATATTCAGCAGTCTGATGGCATGGGGGAAATAGCTATTACAGAATCAAGTGTTTGCCTTGTTTTGACTCAGAAATAAGTTTGTGTATATGGGGTCCATTGACATGCTCAAAAGATCAGTACAACTTGTAAATTGCAAAAGAGTTTGCCTAGAAGGTGTGTATAGGGTGATTCATTATAATATATGCTTTTTTAAACAGTCAAACCTGGACAGAGGTTGTCCAGTTGATGGTTGAAGTTCCCTTAGTTAACGTCCTCTGTTTTGTCTCTCCTCAGACGTGTCTCCGTTCTGCCTGCAGCCTCGACTCGGGGACGTTCTGCCGGTCGAGAATCAAGATGGCGTCTGCAGCCCGACCGGATCTCAGTTTGACTTCAGCGCCTCCAACCTGGAGCAGCTGGTGGAGGAGGACCCCGACCCCTTCAGGTGACACACTGCAGGGTTCAGGTTTTAAATATATAGTTCTTATGTGGACTATGAACAGAAGTATGTTGGTGCAGCTACTTGTCTTCTCTTAAAGTACTTTGGTTTCTTGTTGTATCTCCCCCTGCAGGATGGAGGTTCAGTGTCCGGTGTCCTCAGACGTTCAGAGTGAGGAGGATCAGGGGGAGAGAGAGAGTGAAGCCCCCCCTCTGAACTGGCAGAGCCTCGTCAGCAGAGGAGTCCTGGAGAGCTTGACCCCTCAAGAGATCAAACGACAGGAAGTCATCAACGGTGAGACCCTCCACCAACACCTGTCTCTTCCTCAGAGGTGGAAGTAGTGGAGTAAAAATACTTAGTTACTGTACTTAAGTACATTTTTCTGGTATCAGTACTTTACTCCACTACTTATTTTTCTGACGACTTTTTATTTTGACTTCTTACATTTTGAACACAAATACCTGTACTTTCTACTTCTTACATTGAACCAAATCAAATACCTGTACTTTCTACTTCTTACATGTTGAACACAAATACCTGTACTTTCTACTTCTTACATGTTGAACACAAATACCTGTACTTTCTACTTCTTACATGTTGAACTCAAATACCTGTACTTTCTACTTCTTACATGTT